CGGACCTCTCTTTGAATGGTAACACCCAGGTACTTTACGGAGGAAACTTGCTCAAGAATATGGCCGTGCAGTTTGTATTGGTAGTGTAGAGGAGTACAACTTCTAGAGATTGATAGTGTCTGGCACTTGGCAGGGTGAAATTCCATGTCCCAGCTCATCTCCCACTCAGCTAACAGATTGAGATCCTGTTGTAGCTGGTCCTGGTCAGACCCGGGTCCGAATAGCCACTTCGTTAAATTAATTGGTTTTTAAGTTAAGTTCTGTTATTACTGTCACTGTTATTGTAGATTTTTCTTCATCATTTTATTTACATTTTTTTAAAATGTTCACCTGATTTTATCATTTAAAAAATTAAATCAGTATTCTTTACCAATTATTAAACGGTAGAGTTCACTATGATCCACTTTAATTAACAATTTTAACACTTTCAAAATAAATTAAGTTAAGAATAGGATAGTTATAATTATAAGTTATAAGAATAAAACAGTCCGCAATTGAGTTGTTTCTTTCTGATTCCCTTTTTTGGTATTAACTCAGGGGGACTACTCTAGATCACGTCTGCAATAAACAGAAGTCAGAAGTATTTGTGTGAAACATTCGAATCATTAAAGATGTCAACGCCGGCTAAAAGCTCACCTAAGGATGCTCAGGTTATGTCAGCTATATTGAAGGATATGGGGGTGCTTGAATCAGAGCCTCGATTAATAAATCAAATGTTGGAATTCACATATAGTAAGTATTAGTTAGGTCAGGTTGTCAATAATTATGAGAAGTAAGCGTCCTAGTTTACTAGTCAGAAATGAAGACAACTGTATTATTATTATTGTAGTATAGTAGTAGCTATAAATAATATGAAACTTTGTAGAAGTGTTAAACATTGTACTATCAACATCTTTCTAGCTTTAAAAATTAAAAAAACTTAAATGTACTACAGTTGAACCCGTTAATCTCGACCTCGGTTAACTTGCCACTGTTCTGTCGACGTTTTTGAAGTGGAACCGCCAAATTCTCTCTTTGTCTTAGCATTTTCTCCTTGGTTATGTGGATTCTTTTGTGTCGCCGAACCCTGATATTTCGAGCACAGAAGGCGGCCAAGTTTGCCACTTAACCTCGGTTATCTCAATCCCCATGACCAATCTCCAGCTTTTGAACTCCGCAAGAAGAAATAGCAAACAACAAATAAACAAGTTTTTCATAATTAAAAATAATTATTTATTTCTCAAAATACAGGAATTTAGTTTTAGAATGAACTTAGAAGTAATTTAAATAAATATGTTTTAATTTGAGGTTTAAAAACCCGGTAGAGTCCATATTTTAAATGATCATAATTTGCAGTGTGCAAAACGTTGTCATGGGCAGCCATTCACGGTCACTTGCATAATCATAATGGCTACGTCGTGTTACTACGTCAGAGTTTCATTCATAAGACTTTGCCTTGTTGTGCAAAAGCTATTAAACTTAAACCATTGGTTAGGGAAAGCTTTAATTAAATAGTCATGTGCCAAAGTTGAAAGTTCAAAATAAGTAGCCCCTAAAAAGTATTTTAGTAATAAGGGGATGCATTGACTTACATAAACTATATAGTATAGTCATTGCGCAAGACACGATCAGCAGAATTAGGTCACAAAATGTGGAGGCTTCGTCAATAGTAGAAAATACCAAATGATAAATGAGCTCGGACTTTAAAAATTTGTAGCTCAAAACTTACTTTAGTTAAAAAGTTGATCCTGATTTCATTTTTTTTAGTTTAAAATTTGCTCTCAATAACTATAATATTAAAAAAATAATATTTTTTTTTTACTGAAGTACCTGCATTTATAATGCAGATCATGTACATAAAGAAATTTCAAGCACATGTTAATATATTGTTGCCATATTGGTTTTTGGTTATCTCAATCATCGGTTATCTTGGGGCTTTTTTGGCAAACCCTGAGGCTGTCGACATAACTGGGTTGTACTTTATTTAAAAAATTATATTTTAATGTTAATAATTTTTTTTAATGAGTTTAAAAAAAACAAATACTCATGGTTTAAAGTACTGAACAATAAAAGTGTAAAATAATTTAATAAATGGGGCAAATTAACAGTAAAAATAATATTATGAACACAAAATTAAGGACTAGATAAACCAAGATATACTTAGATTTTCAAAATATCAATTATCATTATAATTTAAAAAAAATAAGACCAAACGTAATTTGTTTTAAAATATGAAATATTATAGAGAAAATTTCACAAAAGAAAAGTTATGCTGTAATTTGAAAGGGAGCAATATCTGATAAAATATTAGTTAATATTTCTATTATTGTAAAGATAATACAATAAATCCATCCCTGTGGCACTACAGCCCGTGTAGGGCTTTGACCTGCCTTACCACTTCCTTCCACTCAGACCTAACTAATGCCTTTCTTCTCCATGCTTGGATTTTCAGCTGCTGTAGATCTTTTTCCACATCATCCACCTAAGCCTAGGTCTGCCTTTGAGCCTTTTTCCTCTGGGGTATTGGTGATGCACCCTCTTCGTTCCTCTGTCATTTGGCATTCTCTCTAGGTGTCCTGCCCAGCGTAGCCTCTTTTTATTTCTGCTACTATCGTGGGACTGTATAATTCATGATTGTTTTGTATTCTCCATCCATATTCATCTTTTGTTGGCCCATGTATTTTCCTGAGAACTTTCCTCTCCCATGTGTTTAATAGGTTTTCTGCTGTTTTTGTTAGGGTCCAAATTTCATTTCCATATGTTACAACTGGTCTGATTACAGTTTTATAAATAGTTTTCTTTGTTTTTCTTGTAATGTTTTTACTTTTGAGTATTTTCTGACTACTGAAGTATGCACTGTTTCCGGCTGATATTCTTTCTTTTATTTCTGTTAGTAATTCGTTTCTTTCATTTAACAAGGATCCTAGGTATTTGAATTGGTTTACTTTTTCAAAAGATTTGTTTCTAATTTTAATTGTTTTATCTGTTTGTTCTTCTCTTATAATGGTCATGTATTTTGTTTTTTGGTGTTAACTTCTAGCCCTGCTTTAATTCACTAAAGGATTTTAATATGTCTTTAATACTTTTCCCTAGAAGTGCTATGTCATCGGCATATGCAAGATTCGGAAGTTGTTGGTTGTAGAGTGTGCCCGTTGGTTGTGGGTCTTGGATTTCCGTCAGAAAGTATCCTGTTATCGTTCCTCGAGTGTCAATGTGTGTTTCTAATAACTCTCTCTAATGTTAGGTTAAAGAGCATACAAGACAGTGAGTCTCCCTGTCTTAGGCCTCGTCTAATTTGAAATTTCCTTGAATATTCTCCTTGAATCTTGATTTTGTTTTTTGAGTTGTTTAGTATTACATGTATTAGTCTTGTCAGTTTGTTGGGTATCCCAAACTCCTGCAGAGTTGGAGCATTTACATTTATGAATGTTATATTGAACATTTTTCCTCGCACCCGCAAAGAACACAATCTTTCGTTTTCTGGTTTGAAGTCTATGACTGCACTCACTGCTTCTTTTTTCACGGCAAATCCTGTTCCTAGTGTGTTGGTGTTGTTACCACTATAAAATATGGTGTATTCTTTTGTTTTGAGGATGTATGATTTTTTTCATAGAATTTCTTGCAATGCTGCAATAGATATTTTATATTTGACCAGCTGATTTACAATGTTGGCTAAGACTCCTGCTCTAAACAGGCTTAGTATATTCCAAGTCGCAATACAAAAATCATGTCCATATCCATGCATAGGTCGATTTCCATTGGTATCAGTCCGGGTTTTATTCTGTTGTTAACCCTGCGCACAGCAGTCTTGGGGGTTGCCCCTTACAGCTCTCTGGATAGCTGCCTTAGTTTTTGGGTAAGGTTCCTTAGCCTTTGTGGATCCCTCCACTTCCTACAAGGCAGTAGGTTCTGATTTTGGTCCGCCCCAGGTATTTTATTTCCCTGGTACCCTCCATATCTGGTGGGCTTTCCCCTAAAGGCCACCTGGGGAGGCGCTCTCCGCAAAAGTATCTCCGCATGAGTAATACAATAAAACCCAATATTAATAAAGAGGGAACTTGATTGCTTCAAGCATTATACATATCTTGGGCTTTCAACTTGTCATAAATAATACTGTTTCTGGTTTATCACTTTCTGGAATTTTTTTCTATTACGGATACCCGTTCTGGACAAAAATAACCTTGTTATGAACATTTCAGAGACATGAAATTTTTTTTATATATCAAAGTAAAAAAGAGATGTTGATGTCAATTTATTTTGATCCCCCCCCCCTCCCCTTCTATTAAAACATAAAACGTTTTTCAACAACACCACCCCCCCCCCCCCCCCCCCCCCCCCCCCCCCTTTTGTTTTGCTTTAATTTATGGAAGGCCCCTTCCTTAAAACTTTGGGGCTGTTTTTTTTTTTTTTTTTTTTTTTTTTTTTTTTTTTTTTTTTTTTTTTTTTTTTTTTTTTTTTTTTTACATTTTTATTTACGTTTTTTGATTTTGAATTTCGATACATTTTGCACCCTCTTTGTACCCTTACTACATTTTCTGCCAATATCCTGCCTTGTCACTGCTACTTGTTGAATCAATGAAAGAATCTTATCTTATTACTCATGATAGGCACTTTGAAACCAGTGCTCTCATTAACACTATGAGTGCTAAATGATTAACTCTCATTTTGCTGTTGTGGATCAAAAGGATGGCTATTAATAAAATAATGCTAGCAGTATGAGTGATGTGGGATCAATCAATTTTAGTAGTTTATAAATTAAAAATAATCAAAAATTTCTCATTGTCAACCTTCATTATAATTTTCTACAGGGTATGTAACCGACATACTAGAAGAAGCCAAAGTTTACTCCAATCATGCAAACAGAAAGTCTGTGGACACTGATGATGTTAAGTTAGCAGTACAGATGAAGATGGACCATTCCTTTACCACTCCACCACCCCGAGACGTAAGTCAGTGCAGCATTAAACCTGCACGTTGTAAATTATTGATGGGGTGGGGAAAATGAAGGAAAAGAAACCTAAGTATTCAGAATTTGTAGAGAGTTTGGATAAAACCTTTTAATTTATACATTTCATTTTACTCACTGGTCTTTAAGACTATGTCCATGAAAAGCAATTCTTATCAATTAGTTTTTTTCTAAAGGGTCAGGCTTCTGTCCCCCACCATGTGGTGAACTAGTTTGTTGTGAATGTTGGGTAGGGGGAGTCGTGAATCGTGAGAGTGTTTTGTGAGTTGTTGATCGTGAAGTTAGTCCGTGGTGTGGAACGTTTGCGTAGGCTGAGTTGTTTGTGTGGTATTATAAAAGGGATGTGCGTTAGCTAGAGGTCAGAGAAGAAAGGTAGAAGAGCAAGAGAATTGTTAGTTGTCGAAAGTTATCAGTTAAGAGTTAGTCAGTAGCGATAGGAGCGAGTGGATAATTGGTAGTTAGACTGATGTGTGTTCCACACGCCATAACGTATATTGTCAATTGAATAGCTGTATCCTGTTTTGTGAAATAATAATAAAATATTATATATTGTTACACTGGACCTTGTGTTTTATTTGAGAGATTCATACACCCTAGACAACGCAAGAGGGCCGTAACATTTCAAGTATAACAAAGGTCGTAACACACCAGTAATTTAGTTTGTTAAATGTTTTTTGCCTATTAACTGTTAGAATTTAAAAATATTTTTTTACTATTTGTTGCTGTGAATATTAGTTTAGTAGGCTCTTGGAAATACTTGATTTTTTTTTTCAATGAGTTTTCCAATTAAAATTTTTTATGTTTTTTCATTGGACATCCATATTTGTAGCATAAAATAACGCCCAGTATTACACATCATCTAAGTCAAATATTTTTTTTTCTTAACTCGCCAAATTAAGAAGACTTGTTATGAATATTAAAATTTACGGGGATTAAATCATCATTAATTTGTCAAAATCCCAAATTTAAACAAAGTTAAAAGCAGTGGTTCCAAAACTATTTTGTATAAAGATGTTTTGTTTCCACCAACAACAAAATTACTTCAATATATTTAATTAGGCAACTGATTTTTCCATATGCTTTTTTTTTTATACCAATAACCCGTTATCTATTTGTTTGAAACAAATATGTTACAGCTGATAATCCTTTTTCAAAAGCTAATGTAGTGGAGAGTTTGTTAAATAAATGTTCCTGGTTGTAAGCTTTGTAAACCATATCAAATACGGTATGGTACTTCTACATTTGAATCTGAAAATCCTCCTATTGATATCAGATATGGAGATGGAAAATTTTGAAAGTTGCCACAAGCTGAGTCAATTTCTTAAAAGTCAGGTTTGGGAAGTAATGATTTGTTTTTTCTACTAAATATTGTTATAATGCTCTGCAGGGAGCTCAATTACAGTTCTTCTTTGGAATGAAGGAGTTTTGAATGGGTTGAATGTGTTATGATACTGTTAATCTTGTGTCTTTATCATGTGGAACAGAGTTTATATGCAGTTTTTGGACATTGAAGGCATCAACCAACAAATATTCACACCTACCTTTTGGAGACAAAGGATCCGACATCTTGTAAACAAATGGCAGATCAAAACAAAACACAGAAGCCAAGGCTAAAGATAGATTACCAGATTGTGTCAAAACAATTAAATAATAATAATAATAACAAAATTCAAATTACCAATCTGGATTTCTGTTTCCTATTGATACTGCACAAATTTTATTTAATCGCAAGATTAAAAAAAATAAAATAAAATGATGGATCTGCATTTCAGATGCTCATGGACATTGCAAGACAGAAAAACTGCCAGCCTCTGCCGCTTGTTAAGCCTTACTGTGGTCCGAGATTACCTCCTGACAGATATTGTCTGACAGCGCCCAACTACAAACTGAAGACTTTGAAAAAGGTAGGAAATCATTTTACACAGCATGAGTATCTCTTCTTTACCCTTTTAAAAAAAAACTATGTTGGCAAGTACAACTGATTCATGATGACGGAGTATACAGACTTATTTTCTGGGCTCCTCCATGTCTCTTGCAGTTGTTAAGTTTAAACAAAAACTCAGCTTTTCAGTTTCCTTATCCCTTCAAAGTTCTTTATCAAAACCCAGATCTCCGTTACAAGATAAGGGGCTTAACAAGGCAACATTTTAAAATTAAAATAATAAAATTGTTATTTCCCTTACATATATTATTTTCAAATGCACAGACAATAACATAATGTAACTGTTTTCTAGTTTCCTTAATGAGGGATTTTTAAAAACCATTGCAATTTAGATGCTGTATTTTTACCTCTGCAAGGATCTCTTACATCTGCTAATGTGCATTAGATACTAGATTCTTACCTCTGCAAGGGTCACTTAGGTCTGACAATGTGCAATGTTGACAATGGAAAATTATTTAAAATTTTATGTTTGCTTATTCAGTGTTACCTTAATATTTTATGACATGAATATCAGATATTTCCACCTACTGGGTAATTTACTACAGATCAGAGTCAAAAATATTCACCTGGCCAACCATTTATCTATTGGGTTAAGTTGAAATTTGATGAGTTATTTACCTTTTGGATTGGGGCTTGGTTAGGGCAGTGGTAAGCCTCTGCTTCAGAGCTGCATGCAGGTCATTGAAAGCACAGATGCTAATCTTTATTTAAAATCAATATGACCTGCTTCTCCCAAAATATTTTATTAACAGATACAAGTTATAAAAATGCCTCAACACTCGGAAGGGGTTGCCAACCCCTGGATTAAGGTCACAAGTAACCCATCAGATTTATTATTTAATTAACAGATTAAGACTTTAAACAATTTGTATCCTGGGTTATTTATCTATTGTATTTTTATTTAAAAAAAGGAATGAGAAACATGTAACGGTCACAGTCTCAGTTAAAAACCTTGTGAATAAGAATCATAAATATCAACCTTTTTGACAAACCTATTGACACCTTCTCCAAAATCTGTAGGGAATATTTCTCTAAACGCTGATTAATTATTTGCACTGACTCTTACTTACATATTGACATCTCTACCACTGAGTTCATCCCTCAACAATGCTAAAGAGTATGTTATTGCACTGACTTGTACTTACATATTGACATCTCTGCCACTGAGTGGATCCCTCAACAATGCTAAAGAGTATAATATTGCACTGACTTGTACTTACATATTGACATCTCTACCACTGAGTTCATCCCTCAACAATGCTAAAGAGTATGATATTGCACTGACTTGTACTTACATATTGACATCTCTACCACTGAGTTCATCCCTCAACAATGCTAAAGAGTATGATATTGCACTGACTTGTACTTACATATTGACATCTCTACCACTGAGTTCATCCCTCAACAATGCTAAAGAGTATGTTATTGCACTGACTTGTACTTACATATTGACATCTCTACCACTGAGTTCATCCCTCAACAATGCTAAAGAGTATGATATTGCACTGACTTGTACTTACATATTGACATCTCTGCCACTGAGTTCATCCCTCAACAATGCTAAAGAGTATGATATTGCACTGACTTGTACTTACATATTGACATCTCTACCACTGAGTTCATCCCTCAACAATGCTAAAGAGTATGATATTGCACTGACTTGTACTTACATATTGACATCTCTACCACTGAGTTCATCCCTCAACAATGCTAAAGAGTATG